AAGAACCCCTTTAATACGACCACCCCATTAATGCAACCAATTTTCCATGGCCCCAAGGTGGTTGTATTTATGGGGTTCCACTGTATTTCATTTTTTTCCTTTTAAATTTCAACGGCTCACTTCAAACGAAATTTTGTTCCGGTTCCAGTTCATCTGGCTTGCGATGTCATCAATCACTCTTTGACTTTACAGTGCTTTATTTTCGAGTTCGGGTGCTTTGCACTGCTACATCAAAAAAGGACTGCCACTCATTTAGCCACAATATATATAATGTATTATTGTTATTCTCCAGAGTGTACAATACAGAGTGTATAACTGCCAATTGCTATTTTTTGCGTGGCATGCATGCCAAAAATCCCTGCCAGTTGCATTGGTGGAAAGTAACAGCAAGAAATAACTTGTTTAACGATACTAAGATAGCATTGAAGCCGAAATAGCAATTAAGTTTCCTAATCTTTATCTAATGATTGATTTCCGTAGCAAATTTGAAATGATCTTTCTCCCATCAAGGCTTAAAGAGGTCCTTGGTTGATCATGGCATACATAAATCCAGTAGGTGATTTGAGGTGCTTGAAATTCACTTCAGTAGCTGTTAATTTCCAGCGGCTACAAAGCATTACAAAGGAGATCAGTGCAAAATATGATAAACCTATTGATTCTGCTAATGCTGGAAAATTGGCGATGCCTGTTCGAATGACAGATAACACAGCAATGAAGCTATTTAGAGACAGAGATCTCAAGGGCGACGTTAGGCCCATAGAAACGACAGGGGATGGAAATTGCCTTTTTAATGCTGTCAGCATAGCCATTTGTGAAACTGAAATTCTTGCAACTAAACTTAGACTACGAACAGCCTTAGAACTTATTCTCAATGCGGATTTTTACGGGGTCCATCCAGTGGTAACGTCATCTGATATCATAACCATATCGGGTAGAAAGTGGTCAAAGGAAGGGTTGTATGACGCCGTTATCTTTAGCAATAATTCCTCTAAAACCCTGGCTAAAGGAGGTTTTGAAAGCGCATTACAATATGAAATCTGCAATACTTTGCATGACGACCGATTCTCTGGTCTTCTACAAATAATGGGTTTGGTGTCAGCATTGGGCTGTGACATCCAGCTAGTGTACCCTGACAAGAGACATTCCTCTGGTCTCTTTGTTGAGTGCAGTTTACAGTCCACGAGTTGGTACCTCAACAACAGCAAAAATTAGCATTATGTGGACAGATACAGATGGGTGGCCTGATAGGTTAAAGGAGTTTAAAGTCAATCATTTTGTTCCTATGTTGAAAGTTGACACACAAGACAATTGGATTACCGTCACGTGAAAGTGCATGATGGTGAAAACATCAAATTACGACGAAAAGAAGAGAAGCTCACCCACCAACCGGAACAAAACCAGCTCATTTCAGCAAAATTTGCAGCCTACAAAAAATGGTACAAAAGAATATTTCCAACGCGATAACCATTCCTACAAAAAGGGTAAGTCAAGTGCCACAAACACATGACCAGGTAAATCATACATCAGCAACAAGTTGTTCAAAGTTGTTTTCTGCGCCAAGACGTGACAAGAAATCCTCTACTCCCAACACGCCAAATACAAGCCCAGGCAAGGCCCAAGAGACACCCCCAAGTTTTATCAGGAAATAGTACAGTCGAAACTGGGCCTCACCTGCCAACAACAACACTGACGTGCCAAGTGGTCCAACAAAATTTGAAAATGAGAACCCTGCTGAATCGAGTTCCCACGACAGATGTAATCATAAAAGAGATAGTTGCACTAGAGACGGAGATACACAACCGGAACCATCCCTTGTAAGCGAACATAGTGAATTGGAAGAAGTCGGTGTGGAATCTCCAACCATCGGCAATGCTCCTGTTGCATGCAGTCCTGTGTAATCTATTAACCTTGGCACTAGTTTGCCAACAAGTAGTTCCTCAGTTGGACCACAGAATCAAGCTCATAAAACGAGAGAAACAGGTGTTGACTCCCAGAACAGTTTTACGCTGCCTTTAACCGCCATTAGACGATCTTTTTACGCAAAATGAGGTAAACTGTGTCATAAAAACTTGAAAAGAAGTCTAGAAAAGCACAAGTAAACGAGCACCTTCGACGAAGGAAAACAAGTGTTAGATGTTCGAAGGAGTAACGTCAAAGGGACATTGGAAGAGAATACTGCTTCACTCAAAATGAAAATCTGTTCAAGCAAATCCCACCATCTCATGTCGCAACTTAGCACACTGGCAGTGGCTAAGCACATTTTAAAGCATGGTCCATTTGTGCCTACTACGGAATTGTGCGATATCTACAAAAAGGCCAATGGTTCCTCAAGTAACTGGTGCATGATGTCAGCTGAGTTGTTCGGTATCACGTCCAAGTATTTAAACATCATGCAGTTATACATCGAAGGGCAAGCATTTATCTGTGAGAACCCACAGTCTGACTTTGCATCCATCCTTTCCTTTGTTCGCAATCAAATAAAAGATAGGAAACATTTAAACGAACACGTAACAAAAACGATTGGTGAATGCTTCAAGGAAGCCCTAAATTATATGGATTCCAAAAGAGACCGGGATACAGTCATTGCCCTGATTGAACATTTCACTAGCGTAAAATTTGTTGCAGGAAAACCGCTAAATATTCAAAACAAAGGAGCAGTACAAGGAAGTCGCGATTCATTTAAGGAAAATCTACGTGCATTTAGAGACATACGAAAAACATCACAAGTTGTGAGGAACGACATGACAAATGAACAGCAACGTAAACTTGCTGTAAGAATTGCAAATAAAAGGAAGCTGAAAGAAATTCTCCACATAGCTCCAGGCCGTGGTCATAAGCTAAAGTACGTGGAAAACCCCATGCTAGTACCTCTCCTTGAGTATGCCTTCATGGAGGCAGACGTCATTGAAGGTGGCGGAGGAGTTCAGAGTCATCCGTGCTTGATAGATGACACTCTATACCGGACTTCAGACAATGTCACCAACATGAAATAGGCAAGACAACTTGTGATGGCAATGTCCAACCCTGATTTCAATATCCCCCTTTCTTGCTGTTACAATTATACTCAAAATTACAAAAAGAACACAATGCGAGCAAAAAGGCACCATGATGGGAGGGAGATAAATGCCAAAATATCCTTCCATAATCCCCCCCATGTAGGGGTTGAAAAATTTGTCGTGAACATTCATTGGTCATCGGCTAACGTCAATTTCATTGTCGACAAATGCGAAGAAAACAAAAACAATTACATGGTAGACTCGAAAGATGCAAAAAGCATTGTCCCAGGAGACATATCACCAGTTCAAAAGCCCATGAAAACATGGAAGCAGCGATTGGGTATTC